CTAAACCCGCCTACTCCCCCCCCCACGGCTTACCTGTGTTGGCGCAGAGCACCGACCGGATGGGGCGGTACTCGACGGGGGCGTGGCCCTTCTGGAAGCAGCCGGCTACTAGCATTATCTTGCAAACCGCGTTTGAATTCGACCTAGCTATGTACATAGTATCGAAAATTCTCGAATCGGAACTACAACCCTAGGACCTCCCTGTCAGAGGTATTGCGCCCTGATCCGCGTAAGCCGGTCACGTGACTATCAGTGCATATCGTCAGTAGGTGGCGCTAAACCCGCCTACTCCCCCCATGACTCACCTCTGTTGGCGCAGAGCACCGACCGGATGGGGCGGTACTCGACGGGGGCGTTGCCCTTCGGGGCCTTCTGCGCGTCGGAGGCGTGGCCGCGGCGGGGCGCCAGCCAGGAGGCCGTGGCGCCGGCGGCGCGGTGCAGGCGGTGCAGGGTGCGCGGGGGCGGACGCCCCGCGCGGGCCAGCAGCTGCACCCCGGACATCGTCTCTGGCGCTCACGCGATCTCTCGCTCTCGCTCTCTTTGGAGGATGGAGGGGGAGGGGGGGTGCGCTCTTCCTGCTCCGCCGCCGGCCGCTGCTCGCTGCCCTCTTGTCACGTTCACGCCTCGCACCACGCACGCCCGCTCTGCAACGAGAAGAACAAAATTACAGTTTGTAAATATACATTTATAGGATTCAGTAACTATTAATTATATACCGTCAATTTGTAATAAATGTTTTATTGCTTGGTACAGCGTTTCACAGACCAATTTGTCAGGGAAACGTTTTGCCAAGCAATGAAAGATTAATTTGAAATTTACTGTCAATCAATAGATCCAATACATTTTATAGACGGTCATAAACATAAAACAAGTTGTATGAATACAATATAGTTGCAGTAATCCGGGATAATTAGGGATGATGGTACCTCTGATCACAAAAAAAACTGATTACAAGGAGAAAAGGAAAATACATAACGGATTTTTCTAGTACAATCGAATCCGGTAATAGTGAACTCTGATATAGTGAACCATCGGTTATAATGAATCGAAATGACTGGTCCCGATTCACTTCAGTAACAAATAAACAAGAGATTCGGATATAGTGAACCCAAACCTCGGCTATAGTGACCGTAGAAATAGAATGCCCTGGAAAGTAATTCCTTCCTGAAAACCAATTATATCGCCTGGGTGCTACTAATTCCAACACTAGGCAGTTTGAAAAAAAAAACATCGTCGGTCAAAGAACATAATCGAAGAAGTCTCCCCAGAGGTTAAGGTAGGGAGATCTTACTTAAGAAACGCCAAGTTTCACAGAGGAAACACAGGTCGTGACCTGCGCGGGCTGCAACTGCCGGCGGCAACGTGCCATTGCTTACTTCGGCATCAATCTTGGTGTTACTTGAGACTCTGCGGAAGAGGGCACGTTGAGTTCTACGTAAGCGACAAGAAGTGCGCGACTGCCGCAGCCCGACGCCCGACAAAAGCGATCAGTTTCCTTAGCCGCTTGCGTCATCCCGTTACCGAAAGGATCTCGTCGTTATTAGATGCGTAAAGGAGCCTACGGAGTGTGGGGCGGTGTTCCAAAAGTGCAAAAGGCATTGAAGGGTGTCAAGACTTCATTACGATACTTTGAGACAGTGGAAAATGTGCGATCAAGTACGGGGAAAGCTCGAACTCTTGAGAAGGATCTAAAGAAATTACCAGTGAAAAACGTTCTAAACAAACAATTGGAAATAATTGACTTTTTAAGGGCAAATATAGTTATTGAACTTTTAAATTTGTACTGTTAAAGGATTTTAAACTATATTAATATAATCTATGTTAATAAAATCAGTTTTTATGGACAAATTCTATTTAAGTTTGACAACATCGGTTATAGTGAACTTCGGATATAGTGAACCAAAAATGTGAGTCCTCAGAAGATCAAATATAACCAGAATCGACTGCACAATGTTTAACGAATTCAAATTTAGTGTACAGATACTATTAAAATTACATATTCATTCATCCATACTTGAATGTGAACCGATCACAACAATGTGGCACATTGACACCGGCTATCTCGTTGTTTGGTGAGGTGAAGCGTATTTTACATGAAGTGGCACGATTAATGTGCACAATATGCATTTGAGGGCCGAGGAAATCTGCAAGTTGCACGTAGTGTAGGTCACCAACAGCGATTCTCTGAAATTTTGTCGGTTGACATTGAGGATGAATTTATCCCCGGTTCTCACTGCTTACCTAAGCGTTTAAGAGGCGTTCAGTATCTGAATTTTATAACTCAGGTACTCCAAGCGCTTTTGGAGCGGGGAGTTAATGAAAGACCGCGTTTATGCTACGGAAGTCGAGGATCGGGATTACCTTCTTCGGTGCATTGAAATCGATGCGGCAGAAAAAAAATGATCCGGCGAAGTTCACGACTTTTTGAACACTTTTAGTTTCTGTTACAGAGGGTGAAAATGCGAAATTTTGGCAGAATACGAAAATATGATAAACTATCCTAAATAACATTTAAATAATTTTTTTCACTGTCTTTTCATATTGTTAAGATAAGTAGGCAATAATAGCAACAGAAAACCATATTTAATCTAATATTTGGGCTACTTTTCTTGCAAACAAATTACCAATGACAAAAATAAACGTTTTTTTTTTCAAAAATTCTGAATAGGGTTTACACTATTTCCCTTGCACTCATGAATAACTCGGCGTACTTTATTACCGAGTTCTGTATTAGCAACGAGGACAGAATCACCCTGTATATCCATAAAAGTGCAGTTGTTTACAATGGTGAGACACCTTAGAAGCACTGAAGAGACTGGAGAGACTGCTCCAAAATTTAGAATGAATGCTTTTGGTCCATCAAGAACGAAACCCTTTTGCTGCGCATATATCTCTGATAAGATGCTGATTGAAATTTACCACCCATGAGTTAGATTAGCCACTTTATCATATCCTGCAACTCGCGCATTTACACACGTTCCTGTCATTTATAAACTCGCGTTCATAATAAACTTTCCTCGGGCCAGATTGACCTACGATCGTATATTTCTAATTAAGACGTGTTCGAGATTCATTTTACTCTTCTATAAACACGGCCGTGCCAAGGTGTACTTTGTATCTTAGTACAAATTTTTGTTTGCCGCCCCCTGTTCCAATGTTTTGACTTTCTTACGTAGATTTAATTTAGCATCTACGGACTTAACTGTACAGTGGAACGGCAATTTCACAATTTCTGCACGAGTAATAAAAGTAAACTATTTCCATTATATGAATTTGATGAAATCTCCGAAGATTGTTTTATTTATACTTATTGTATTAGTGCATTTTTCGACCCATAATTTAACACCAAAAGTGATATTTAATGTTTGCGAATAAAATAGTTAACGTTTTATGTTTAAAATAAAAACAACAAATGCACCAAATATAAAAAATGCCTACTTTATTGTCGCCGCTTGTGTGGTGCATCGCTCGCACCAGTTTGCCACGACCCAGCCCGTAAAATGTATTTTATTAAAGTTATGCCACTCTTCTAACCTTCAGGCGATATTATCTCCGTATCAGTCAAGACGCGGTGCCACACCGCAACTGAATACTCGTTGATCCCACAGAATCAATATTTTTCCCGCTATCAGCTCTTCCGCGGAGGCTATCGCTGTGCGCATGTGACATAACGGGACCCGTTCCCCATCGGCCGTCTATTATCGCCTTCTGTTGAGTCACTAGAGAGATTTTGCACAGCGTATGGTCATACTATACTTGGGGGGTTTTCATTTCGTGTCGAGCGCGGCCTTGTCTTCACGATGGAATATATCGCGGTGTTTCGCGTCTTTCTCGGTCGTGCCGCTAGATGTCGCATGACCGCGACCGTATCGAGCCGTGCTGGCGATCATGCGACATCTGGCGGCTGGACCGAGAAAGACGCGGAACACCGTGAGATATTCCATGGTGAAGACAAGGCTTCGCGCGCCAAAGAAATAAAAACCCAAATACGAGTATAGGGAGATTTTGCCGGGTGGAAAGAAGTATGAGCTTCTCCGGTGCACCGATTGTTACTCGTACTGCGCAGCACCAATTTGCGTCACGAACCACGTGACTACAACACGGGCACTTCGTTTGAAAAGCCTGAGCAGACGTTGGCCGCCATTTTGCACGAGAGCGAGAAATGTTGAGAAGTATTTGAATATCGGGATGAAGCGACAATTTTCAACGAAAAGTAACACGATGACTCTGCAATTGAAATAAAAGTTGCAATATTTCAAACAATGCTTCACATGTCTTGGTCAATGATTTATAAACGGTGATTATTTCTGGTAACTGGCTGCATTTAAAATTCCCCCTAATATTGCAATGCAACAAAACCTGAAGCTCTTTGGTGGACGTCTGATACGTTGCGCAAGAGGCCCCCGTGAATTTTTTTACGACATAAGAGTACAACAATCTCTACTTTCTGCGCATGCGCAGATGCATAAAACTGATGCGAAACTTGAACTGCGCAAGCGCAGAAGGTTGTTAGTGCAGCCGACTGATTTAACGCTTCGAAGTGCAAAACCTTCCTACTGCATGAGGTAACCACGTGACATATGTTATGCGAAGCACGATTTCTGGAAGAAGAAAACTCACCTCTGGTTGTAGGGGTACGTAGGAAAAGTGTCGGCAGCTAATAGGACAAACTTGGACTTGCTACATCACGCGGTCAATGGGAGAACCATTTAAGGCATTTTTAGCCAATGTCCATCAAGCTCATGTGTCAAATCAACGCTGAATCTTCACTATATTACACTTACTAAAGTGGAGATGACGTAGGTCAAGTTCGTGTACGCGCGTCGTCATTGGCCAATAAAAGAGCCGAGCCAAGTTCCTCCATTCACCTCCTGATATCGCTGAAGCTATGCGTGTCAGACTAGCTGCTGTGAAATCGCTAAGGCAATAGTGCCTTAGAGATCTCTGACCGAAGGAATGCGCGTTCGAGTCCCGCCTCGGGCATGTGAAGTATGTTTGTGTCGTGCATTCATCCTTCATTGTCATTCCATATCCCATCCTCCCAGTACTGGTAACCCTGCGGTATAAAAATTGGATTCAACATAAGAATGCTGATCCCTTCCAGAAAAGGAGTACACTTGCGTACACTTGCCACGGGAATAAACAAATGTAACAGCCTCGGCAAGTGCAGGTGTACGTGTGCGAGGTTCCAAGTGTCCAATTCGCATCCAATACATAAAATTACATCATACGGGTCAAAACACCCCGAAGCCACGGAAAAGTGCGCGTGACAGGGAAGTGGTGGGCATTTATTTGGGGAAAATGAGAATTTATTGTTCATTAAAATTATGAAAAGAATGTAATTTGAAGAAGAAGAAAAAAAGAAAATAGAGAAAAAGATAAAGATAGAAAAAAAGAAGATAGAAAACAATTAAAAAAATACTGTTTCCTAGAATATTAAAATTGACCAATTTCACAAAAAAATGTGAGCTGGGTCGAAAAGACCCAACGTAGTAGTTTACTTAACGGTACTTCACTTTGTAGACCAAGGGCTGTACGCGACAGCCCGTGAACGAGCTCAGGCCTACCGCCGACGTCCCTGCCTCGCGGCCATGGGTCTTAAAGGGGTACGTGTGGTTAGCACGTAGACATCCCCACGCTGTATTCCGGTCTGCTCAAACTGAGAAGTGAATCTTCTCATCGTCACACACAGCAACAAATACTGGGACATTTTCAAGAAAACGCACACTATAGTCTTGGTTCGACCGGAAATCGAACCTGAGGCCGCGTTATTATTATTATTATTATTATTGCTATTATTATTAATATTATTAATATTATTATTGTTATTAATAATATAATTTGGAAGGAAGAAGCGGTGCTTGGCATGAGAAACGCAACCGAAAGGCATCAGCGTCCGCGCGGAGACGCAAAGTGGCCGCGCGTGAGTGGCGCGCGGGGGCGCCGAGTTGCCACAGATAGGCCGAGAGTCGCCAACAGATTAAGCGCCCCTCCGCAACACTCACCCATTCACCGCCACCAGAAGCGGCTCCTTCAAACTGGCGGCAGTGGGCGCTGCGGCAGACGGCTGCGCACACAGCAACGATCGGTTGATTGGTTGGTTTGGTTTGATTGATTAATGGTGATTACGGGCGCGAAGAACAGATAAGGTTTATTATCCCGTAGTGTAGAGCAATGTTTTAAGACTATCATTTAATTGCGTGATTGATTAGTGATTCCGGGCGCGAAAACGGCTAAGGTCGTTAGTCCCGTAAGTGTAGAGCGTGGTTTTTGATCGCGGGCGGTGGCTAGTGATCTACCTCAGTTGGATGGAGACCTGACCGTCGGCCTAGCGGGGTTTTTCTTCTACCCGATATCTCCATCGGCGGGGCACCGCCGCAGCCGGACAAACTTTATACTTGGGGTTTTTAATTTGCATGGCGCGCGAGGCCTAGTCTTCAGATGGAATATCTCACGGCATTTCGTGTCTTTCTGTGCGGCATGATCACGACGGGCGTATCGAGGCAACTGGCTGCAATCATGACGACTTGTACGCGGCAGGACAGAGTGAATGGAAATAGCGCGGAGATATTTTCATTGTGAAAGACAAGTTGTCGCGTGTCAAGAAATAAAAAGCCCATAGTGTAAGTTCCCCAGGTCCTCCCGGCATTGGTGGTAGGTAGTGTAAGTGTCATGCATACTCGGAGTTACATCGTGGCAGCTTCAAGCCTTTGTGGTCATGGAGATGGAATATTCACGGCTTTTCTCGTCTGTCTCGTCGCTGCCGCTAGACATCGCACTGCTTTGATACGCGATTCCATTGCGATTATGCGTCATCCAGCGCACTACAGAGAAAGACGCGAAATGCCGTGAGGTGATTCCATCGTGAGCACAGGGCACAGGACGTGCATGTTATAAAATCTGAAGAAAAAGTAAGGCGTGTGTAAGTAAGGGGTAACGATAGGACAAGGAAGAGGAAGGAAAGACCGCGCGCAGTCCGTGGCTCGTTTTTAGAGTACGGCTCCGGCATTCATCTGGTGCTGATCGGAGAAAACACGGAACACTACCGACCAGAGCAGCGGGCCACTAGAATTTTCCTGCACCACGCAAATTCAACCCTGCTATCTCGCTAGTGTCGAAAATCCCACCACCGTCGGGACTCGAACCTAGGACCTCCCGGTCAGACGCACTGCAGACATCAGCCGATGCTTTGAGCTACCTCTCCCGGTCATTTTCTTCGGTCCAAATGAAAACAGTTTCTTTGCTTTCGGATTTTTCTCGAGTTTCCTGGGTTAGGAAGCCATTCTCATATGGCCGGAGGCTGCCTGGTTCGCTTTGTCGGCCCGAGGGAAAGGCGGCGGCGGCGGCGGCGGCGGCGGAAACAACGCAGTGTGTGACGTCAACGCATCGCTCGATGGGGAGGGAGGGGAAAGCCGGACAAGTGAAGGCAATTTCCTCTGTCGGTCGCCTCTTCGGGGCCTCCCCCATCCACACATCCACTCCTCGTAACGAGAGACTATAACACCCGCGCGCTTTCTTGAGCCCTGCAATACATACTCCTTTACTAACGTTAGTTTAAGTTAGAATAAATGTTAGCAGCGAGCGTTGTTCACAAAATCTCGTTGTGAGAAATGTTTGCTCACGCATAAGAGATATTATTTCACAATGAAAAAACGAGCGCCAAGTTTGATACATTAGCCCTGTCGTCGAAATAACTAAACCTGTACTCCTCTCGCATCCAGCAAAACGAGGTCTCAAGTAAACGAGCGCAGGTAATTCTCACTTCGCGTTACCAAACACCAATGTTCGAACTGAAACCTACTAATACATCCACCAAAAACCATCGATGTTTACGAACAATGCTTTTAAGGTTGGTTCAATATATCTAACAATAAATGTTCGCGCGGGACAAAATTTGTCAGCCGCCCTGTTTAGTAATTTGAAACTAAGATTTGTAGTCTTTGGGTGTATTCCTTTGGAAAGAAGAAAAAGAGAAAGGACTAGGAATTTGTCAAGGCCATCATTGATACGACAATGTACAAAAGGAGAAAAGTAGATACCTCGTAATGAAAAGCCATGGCGTATTGTGTGGGATGGAACTAAAAATATCGCATAATAATGATGGTGATAATAACAATAATAATAATAACAAAATACTTATAGATGTGGCTGTGCCGTACGATCACAACATCGTAACCAATGAGGCAGAGAAACGTCTTAAATACAAGTGTTTGGAAACTGAGATCAGCCGAA